GATGTTGTTACTCAAAACCCTGCATAAGAGGTACTCCAAAACCATGGAACATATTATCAATCGGACAAAGCTGGAGTAGGATGCCATGAGGCTGCGGGACACCGCGGTCCATAGAGCTACCACAGGAAGTTGGACGGCTAAGCGGTCATCGGCATCATACAACAACGGGACAGTCGCTAATGATTCCTGAAACGCGTTTGCTCACCTCTCAGCTTCCACAACATCATAGCGCCAAACGGGAAATACCCCCTGCTTCACAGATGGTCTGATTGTTTGGGGAACCAACCGCATACCCATGAACTGACCGTGTTCAGTCTCGTTTGAATTACTGAGGCAATAAGAAAATGAAAACGATGAAGGCACAAACAACGCAACGTTCATTCAAGAAACGTTTTTACTTCGTTTCGAGCTGGCCATTAATTTCGTGCTCAAGAAACGCTTTGCTAAAGAAAACATTTTCCTCATATCTCAAGCACCATGCATTCTGATCAAAAACAAGAAATTTGCCATAAATTCCGCCGTCCGTAGTCTCCTGCGTGCAACCTTCCACTGGCTTAACCCATTGTTTTGTATTCGGCTGGAACAACCATCCGAGGCAACGCAGACGATATACGGCAAACGTTTTCTTTACTATGTCCTCATCCAGATATACGGCATACAGTGTGTCCCCCAATTCATCAATTCGTCTGTGATCCTCCACCGAACGAATCAGGTCTGGTGTATTCATTGCGATGCAGGTGCGAGGTACCAGTGACCCGGTAATTTGAAATGCACTTTCACCCGTTTGCCGGTTCGTCCTCAACTCCACATCCCTAGCTCTGCAGACAGGGCATGAACTTGGCACGCTGTCCTCCACAACCGGCAAAACCTTGCGCAAGACTTTAAGCCGCGTGTCCTGCTGGTCTGACAACCACTTTTTCGTCAGTCTCTCGTAGGCGCCAGCCCATACGTTTTCTCGACATGGTTTGCCTGACATTTTTCTGTAAAACAAAAGAAAACATGAGGTAATGAGGACACCACATTCACCTGCAGCACTTGGCAACGTGGATTCTTCTGCCCAATCAGCCTTTAGCGTACAACCGCAATTCCCGACCGCACCTACCACAGTAACGTCCGATGTGACACTGAGTCGATCGCCGAACTGACGGCCTACGCAATCGCTACCAGCGTCGACCGATCGACGAACACAGCGGACTGCGGCGAACCAAAGAGCGACCAACCGGGTTCCACGAAGGCGCCTGCCTCGCAGAATGCCTTACACCATCACGTAACTGGTCACATTTGCCCGACTGTTCGGTTAAGGGAAGCCAACCTCAACCCTACTTTTGCTGCTTCTTCAAATGTGTTCTATGTGTGCTTGATCGAGCGACTTTCAGCACTCAGGTGGATCGCGCTGGTCACAACGCTTCCTCGACTCATCCGTGTTATCGCCTTCCTCTACCAGAGACGTCTTTGCAAGCCAGGGGACAAAATCGTCGCTTTTCTTTAGAGAGCTGCCCAGTCGTCTTGTATGATCCTTTTAGCCACTTAACGGGCGCCGATCTCATCTCATCGTTTTCTCCCAGGATTTTGCCAAGACTATTTTCACTTCGTCTTGCTGTCTGACTTCTGCACTGAAGATGTCATGCAGCGATGTCTCTCGCCTTTTCTTTCCATGGCTATTTCTGTGACACACAGCTGACGATTCCTCGCCTTTGGTGCTTGCCCGCGGTTCGCCCTCATACAGCCTCTCCGGAAAATGTCCCTGTTCCCAAGGTAGGTCATTGTAGCTCAGTTTTGTCAGCTCATCTAGAACATCAATATCAGCGGAAGTTGCCGTTAATTT